AGTCTTCTGGAGAGCCTTGCCCCAGCTCTGCGAGATATTCCACCTAGCTGGCACCATGATGGAGTCTACAAAAGGCCTTTTCAGCTTTCTGTCAAACCAGCCACTTCATGATGGTGGGAATATGCTAAGAATAGTGACTTCTATGAGCGTGGGCCCAGTGTAGCCCTTCTTTTGCTGGGAAGTGGATTTCTTGATCAGAGGCAATGCTGTATGGGATGCCATGCCAGTGGATAGGCATTCTGTAAGTCCACAGATGGTAGTTTTGGCAGATGCACTTCTTGCAGGGTTGGCAATGCCACATCCAGAGTGTCTATTGCAGTAAGAATAATACAGTTCCATTTCCATGATGGAAGTGGTCTAATGTCATCAACTTGTTACTAGGTAGCTGGTGATCGCCCTGTGGGACGGTGCCATGTAGGGAACTCAGTGTGGATCTCTGCTGCTGACAGATGGCCTCTCAGCAGTGGCCTTGGTGAGTGGAGTCCATGGTACTGAGCCCTGCGTATCCTCTGTCCCTCCCACCATGGCCTCTTTGTTCATGAGCCCGTTGGGCGGTGATAGAGTGGTTGAGGGAAAAGCTGATGGTATCCACTTAATTATTAAAATCTTCCTTTGCTGACGTCTCCCATGAACATTTACACAGGACACAGATATCTTCATGTTTATTGAATTATAGTCAATGTCTTTGTGGGTTTGTTTTTTATTTATTTGTTTGTTTATTCAGAGACATCTGTCCACCTCTTCTCCAGATTTCATTCTCACGAATTTCCTAATCATATTCCTCCCATGTCCCTTACCTTTTAGCCAATCATTTCATAGCCCATGAATCAGTATAAAGTTGTACATCTGACCAATTCTTCTTTCAAGTAAAGTAGACAAAGGTGCACTGCTCAAAGTTCTTCCTTTACCACTGCCTTTCAGTGAGGCTTCAGAGGGGGCTAGAGCCCCACAGCTGTTCACTTGTGGGTAGCGTCTGCATATGATGCAGAACCATATGTAAATTAGGCCTCAGTCTTTTCTTCTGTTAGCTGGGTATAGGGAGCCTTCTATGAGGCCAGGGGCACAGGGTAGGGGAGTGAATCTCACTTTTACTCCATCTTTTGTACTATTCAGACTTTTTGTTTTATTTGGTTTTTTTCCTCTTTATATACATGAGTAATATTTATGTGTAATTTTTTTCTATTGCATTTCTTTTCTAGTTTTAATACCAAGGTTATACTAGCCTAATTAAATGTGTTAGGGAGTGTCTCTCTTCTGTTCTTAGTAAGAATCATGTAAAACTAGTATAACCTATTCTTTACATATTTGGAACATTACAGATAAAAGTAAGGTTGTTTTTTGTTTTGTTTTTATCAATTTCTTTAAAATTTATAGAACTGTTCAGGTTTCCTGTTTTTTCTTTGTCAGTTTTGGTCATTTATAGTTTTTTGAAATTTATTCCTTTCACCATAGCATGAACATTTTTGGCGTAACATTAGTCATGGTACTCTTCTTACTAATCAATGGTACACTACAGGTAATTTCCTCAGATCTGGTGTCCTGAACACTAATTATCTTTTTAGCTGAATCTAGACAGCTCTTAGTTTTTTTCAGTCTGTTTTTATTATTGTGGTAGAATATACATAACATGAAATTTGTATTTTAACTATTTTTAAGTGTACAGTTCCCTGGTAGTAAGTATATTCACTGTGTTGTGCAACCATCATCACTACCATTTTCCAGAATTTTCATCATCCTAGACAGAAATTCTCTATACATTAAGCAAAAACTCCCTAAATTCCCTGGTACCTCTATTTTCTGTCTCTATGAATTTGCCCATTCCAGGTACCTCATATAGGTGACATCATATAATATTTTTCTTTTGTGTCTGGATTGTTTTACTTAGTATGGTGTTTTTATGTAGTAGAAAGTTGATTCATGTAATAAATAGCATATATTGTATTTATTTCCTTTTTATGGTTAAATAGTATTTCATCATATGTATATACTACATTTTGTTTATCCATTCATTTGTTGATGGACATTTTGGTTGTTTTCTACCTTTTGGCAATTGTGAATAATGTAGCTATGAACACTGGTGTACAAGTGTCTGTTGAATCCCTGTTTTCAGTTCTTTTGGCTATATATCTAGGAGTGGAATTGTTAGGTTATATGGTAATTCTGTTTTTAGCATTTCCTGGAACCACTGTTTGACACAGTGGCTACACCATTTTGCATTCCCATCAGCAAAGTACAATGTTTCCAATTTCTCCACATCCTAGCCAACACTTATTATTTTCCATTTTGTTGATCATAGCCATTCTTGGCGTGTGAAGTGCTATCTCTGTTTTTTTGATTTGCATTTCCCTAATGGTTAATGATACTGAGCATCTTTTCATTTGCAATTGTTTATTTGTATATTTCATTGAAGAAATGTCTATTCAAGTCTATTGCCCGTTTTTAAGTTGGGTTGTTTTTTTGTTGTGTTGTGGGAGTTCTTTACATACTCTGATTATTTAGCTGATACATGATTTTCAAATTTTTTTTCCCATTGTATGGGTTATCTTTTCCTTCTCTAAATGGTGTTCTTTGATTTCTAAAAGGATTAAATTTTGATCCAATTCATTTATTTTTTCTTTTGTTGCCTGTGCTTCTGGTGTCACACTTAAGAAACCTTTGCCAAATCCAAGGTAGTAAAGATCTCCCTTTCTGTTTTGTTCCAAGAGTTTTATAGTTTTAGCTCTTTAATTTGGGTCTTTGATCTATTTTGAGGTGTTTTCTTAGATTAGTTTATTTAGTTTTATATATGGTACAGGTAAGATTCCAACTTCATCCTTTTTGCATGTGGACATCTTGTTTCTCTCCACCAGTTGTTGAAAAGACTGTGCTTTGCAAAT